AGTACGTATTGAAAATTGATTATAGAGGCAGCATAGAGATTTCGATGCTCTAAGTGCTTTCTCGACAAAGAGTTGATGTGAGGTTTTACTTTGTTTTCCTAACTTCTAGGGCTTGTAGAAATTGCATCCCTTCAAAGAGGCTTTTAAATTTGGGTATGGTTTTTATAAGGTTTCAACCTTAAACAATCCAATTAAGGCGCACCTCTAAATTAATCATAACATTTAATTTTGGTGTAAAAAATTATTAGGATTATCTCGAAATCTATTTTTATATCTAATTATGAAATTTTAAAATCCAAAAAAACATTAAAATCAAGTAAATGTATAAACATATGAAATCTTGAAAATGGACGGTCTAGATAATGTCTTGCAAGATGCATTATTTCTGGGACCAAAATCCTCCCTTTTTTTTTCCCATATTCAAACATCTCGATGTCGAGATGATCAATTAGAGGGTTTTTTCAACATTAAAATAACATTTCCCGATGGATCTTTGAGGTTTATCTTTGATTCTACAGTTTAATGTTACAACCTTATATAAACTTTTTTCTTGAAATTTTTTTAAAAGAAGGAAAATGGGTTGATAAGGTTTGAACCCCATCAAAATAAGTAAAGCCTCACCTCATAACTCATCGAAAATTACAACTTAAGGATTGAAAAATCTTTACATTGATCAAGCATTGGAAAACCTTTACATCGATCATCTCGACTTGAACATTATACTTATGAAAAAAAACATTAGGATTTCAAGCTCTAAAAATAATATAAATTGCAGTGATTTAAAAAATATCGGGCCAGCACAAAATCCCTCGATCCAACCTGAGAATCAGTCACACCATACCGATTATGTAAATATATAGGAAATTTGCTACAGTAAAACGTGTTTTGCTACACTAAAAACCCCAATTCACTGATCAGAACCGTTTCTTGACCTGTTCACTGTTTATGCATGTTTTTTTTTGTCGGTTCACTATTTTTTCTACGCAATAAAATGGTGATCCGGACCGCCGATTCACTGATCCAAACCGGTTTTTACGATGCCCGATCCTAGTCACCGATCCTTTTTTTAAATCATTAGTATATTGTAACAAATTATTTATATCATATATTTTACCTTAAAAATAAGTATTTATAGATCCACAAGATCTATATATCATTTTTAATTTCAAAATGTAATGTGGATGTTAAAATTTTATTTTAATAGAGACTCTGACTTGCATTATTTCCTTGTGGTTTTGTTTTTTTATGGATGCTTCCTCCCGTGGCCTCTCTTGATTTCCCCAATGTAGAACTCTGTACAATGACGTAATAAGTTGGATAGCAGCATGGTGACCTAACAAGTTGATGGAGTAGCTTGCCTTTTCACCAGAAAGGGTTATGGGGGCTTGTAGCCATTTTCAGAGGGAAGGAGAAGAAATTTAGGAGATGAGGGGCTTAACTTTACAATCTTTTACTATAACATAATAAGGGGGAGAGAAAATTTTCGACTGATGGTGCCCAGCACGGTTCTAAAACTTGGCCCAGGCAACTTGGAATCAGCCGAATAACTCGGCCTGAGCCAACAGACGAGACGCGTTTTGAGCGAGTTCGTTGTACACAATGGTTTTAAAATTTGATTATAATATTACTACAACTTCTTACTAGATGTGTTAGGATGGCTTACTTATTACCTTTCAAGTAATAAAGTTTGCCTTTGTCAGGGTTCCAATCCTGTCGCTTATTTTTCAAAAAAAAAAACATCAAATTTTTAAATTTTATCTTGAGATTTAGTTTACGCATCAGATAAAAAAATCAAATTTTTAAATTTTATCTTGAAATTTAGTTTAAGCATTAGAATTCTTTTAATATTTATCTATTCTTACTCTCTCTCATTCTTTTTAATATTTATCTCTTCTTTCTCTCTTTTTTTAAAAAAAAACATCAAATTTTTAAATTTTATCTTGAGATTTAGTTTAAGCATCAGAATTCTTCTAATGTTTATCTATTCTTACTCTCTCTCATTCTTTTTAATATTTATCTCTTCTTTCTCTCTCTAAATCTTTTCACTCCGAACATCAAATTGTTTTGTAATATCATTTTAGTGATTACCGTATCTAAGGAGTAACGTTTTATTCTATCCCCTTCTCCCTCTTAGGTTTACATGAGGTTACCTCCTTGTCCTCTAGGGAATTATGAGGCACTTCTAAATTTTATCTTAAGCATCAAAATTCTTTTAATGTTTGTCTATCCTTACTCTCTCTCATTCTTTTTAATATTTATCTCTTCTTTCTCTCTCTAAATCTTTTCACTCCGAACATCAAATTGTTTTGTAATATCATTTTAGTGATTACCGTATCTAAGGAGTAACGTTTTATTCTATCCCTTTCTTCTTCTTAGGTTTACATGAGGTTACCTCCTTGTACTCTAGGGAAGTAAGAGGCACTTCTAAATTTTATCTTGAGATTTAGTTTGAGCATCAGAATTCTTTTTATGTTTATCTATTCTTACTCTCTCTCATTCTTTTTAATATTTATGTCTTATTTCTCTCTCTAAATCTTTTCACTCCGAATCTTTATCTCTCTGGCGGTTTAGAGAGGAAAAAAAGAGATAAATATTAAAAAGAAATAGAGAGATAAATATAAAAAAGAATTAAAAAGATAAATACAACACAATCATAAAGGAAAAAAGGGTTTAAGGAAGGGTATACTATTACCGCATTTCGAATAACGTAATAATAATTCAACTCCATACTGTATATAAAATGAGTAGGTTAGTTTTTATGAGACTTAAAATACCGTAATGATGCAATGCGACAACCATGAAGGTTATTTGAGAGTTTTTTAAATAGACGAAAATTAAAGTATATTTGTGATAATTTCCCAAAAAAAAAAAAAGTACCGATTGAGCATATATATATACACACTTGAAAATCTTTTAATACAAGAGATAACAAATACTCATGTATAATTGAGGTTCTTAGTATTTATATATTTTTATTGAAATAATAAAATCTATAATAAGCTCACTATCCTAATTCATCTTTACCCTTCAAAATCATCAATAATCTCTTTGAAATTTCTTCAATTTGTATTTTTTTTCCCCTTTTTGTGGAGCTTTAGTTCTTTATTGTTTTTTTGGAAAATATCTTTGTACCTCTTATTTTTTACATCTATTTCTCAATAGACCCAAGGGTTTAAATTATTTCTAACTGCATAAGGTCTTTATGTTTTTTATTTTTCAAACCCCTAAACTCCTTTGACCGTATATTATTGATCTAAACAATTTGTAAAATGACTCATATCTCTCTCTCAAAACTCTATCTAATATCTCTCACAAAACTCGATCTCTCTCTCGCCTCTCTCTCTCTATCTGTTTCAAAACTCCGTCTCTATTCTCTTGCGTCTCTCTCTCTCAAAACTCTGTGTCGCATTCTCTTGCCCCTCTTCTCTCTCACTCTCTCTCAAATATACAAAGTAAGGTTTGGGTTTCTCTTGCAAGACAGGCATCCATCTCTTTTTTAGTACAAGTTTTACAATGTCCCTTCTAATCCAGTGTTGTAAAATTGGGATAACTTAATCACCCCTTTTGATCAAATCGAGATATCTCAAATCCCACTAGATGTGGTAAGTACTTCACCACAATGATTTTAACACTCAAATAATATGTCCAATATACAATAAAAAGTACAATATAATTGAGAAAAATATAACAGCAATAAAACAAACAATATAGAAAATCTTTAAAGCACAACACTTATGAAAATGGAGAGGGACACGAACATATAAATGGTTCACCCAAAATGGGCTACCTCCACGGGCAAGACGGCAAAGGTAACCATACGTGGTTCACCCAAAATGGGATACGTCCACAGGCAAGACGACAAAGGTATATTCACTATTAAGAGGAAAACTTACAAGATTGGAGTTATATAAGGTTACCTCATATAATCTCAATGAACGCTCGAATAAAGAACTTCCTACCACAAAACCACCTACAATCGATTCTTTTTTTCGATTCACTGATGCCGCGAAAAAATGCTGACAAAATGGCCCAACATGAGCTCCAAATGGTGACGCTAGGGTTTTATTGCAAAACCCCCAATTTCAACTCCAATAATATCAACAAGCTCCATTTTCTTTACAAAAAGAGTTCACCCCATCTTCCTCTAGGTTTCTCTCTCTAAAAAAACCTTTTACGAGCCTCCATTAAAAAGGTTTTCTTTTAATGCCAAAAATACATCTCACCATAGCGAGAAATACCATGGTGATTTGGCATCACCTCCCAACATCAAGCACCAAAGTAAAGATGGCGCTAGCGAGCACCAAAGTAAAGCTGGCGACTAACTGTGCATGTAGAGTTTGCAACAAAAGTGGGAGGAGATCTAACAGCATATTTTCGACCTGCAAATGCTACCATATACCCACTATATGTCTCCAGTGTTGTATTAATGGTGAGGAGAGAGATTTGGTCTACCTTGGGTTGAACATCGCAAGTGGGGCATTGATTATAGAGAGAGAAAACCTTTGATCACAAAGTGAGAGTTGTGTGGTACTATTGACAAAGAAAGAAGACCTCAAAAGGCGATACCAAAAGTTAAGCCATTTGATTTCTGGATGCGAGTGTCTTGGCAAAGCTGGAAAACATTGTTATTGTCATTCACCATGGCTACAACTTCCATTACTACAAGCACCATGATTGCACTCTCTACCCTAAACCCTAGTTTTTTCATTGCCAATATTTTGGAAAATAAAAGGTCTCTAGGCCACGGCAATTTGAAATTGAAGAGAGCTTATTCTAGGGTTTGTAAGTCAAATGGAGTTCATCTTGAATCTCTTAGTAGGAAATTGAAGCCCTTGCTAGAATTGTGGCCTCCTCTATGTTGAAATTAGGGAGAATTTTGGATGTTGAGAGAGACGGAGTTTTAAGAGAGAGAGACGTGAGAGAGATGGAGTTTCGAGAGAGAGGGGAAAAGAGATACAGAGTTTGATAGAGAAATGAAATTATTTTACAAATTGTTTAGATCAATAATGTATGGTCAAACCGTCAAAAGTGGGTAAGAAGATAGAAAAGATAGAAACTTTACGTTACAAGAAAGTTTAAATTCCTAAATCTTAAGTGAAATTGAAGTAAAAAAATAAAGGTTCTAAAATTGAAGTAAACAAAATAAGATGTAAAGAGATAAAAAAAAAAAGGGTTCTATAATTGAAGTAAACAAAATAAGGTGTAAAAAGATATTTCCTATACTTATCTTGGAGCTTTCCCTCTCACTCCCTCCTAATATGTTTCTCTATTTGATATTCATATTTTTTATTCTTTATAGGAAAATGATCTTTTTATATATGTAGAATCCCAAAGCATCGTCACTAAAAAAAAATTGAGATTGATCATGCGTATGATCCCAAAGCATCATCATTCAAAATTGAGATTGATTCATAGAAAAGTCAAGTTTCAACCTGATCATTACTCTTTTTTTATGGGATTTTTCTTTGTTATCAAATCTCTCTCTCTTATCATTTTGCCTCTGGAGCCATCCTCTCAAAGAGGTCGCTGGGGAATATTCGTGGCTCGGAGTTTGAGTCAGACTTCGACGAGATTCATGAGACAGACGACAAGCTTGACAACCTCTGTAACGCATGACAATACGTTGAGAAGAAGATGGTGAAGGATGAGTTCTTCAACATGAACTCTGAGAAATGGGATCAGAAGATTAAGGAAGGCCAGGAAAAAGGATTCCTCTAAGACCCTGGCAAATGCAAAGAAACCCTTGAGGACATTCTCAATTGGCACATGCTTCTCCCTGGTAATGCTATTTGCCTCCTCGTTTTACCCTTTTTGTTTTTTACATGTTGATAGGAGGATATGTTTAAACTTTTTGTTCTGCTGCCTACAAACAATTATGAGGAAGAAACATTGAGTAACTAATTGTTCCCCTGAATGTTAGTTTTGTCTTGATTATTTTCTTCTGTTTAAGCTAGGTAACCACCCCTCCTTTGAAACAATAACTAAAACAAAAACAATAACTTATCTCTAGTATGGAGACATCTATTATATTGTTTTCCATGTGGGTTATTGTGTTGAGGAATGATCCTAAAAATAAATAAATTACAAGGCATCACATGTTTTTTGTTTTCATATTAATAAATCAAATTTCTTTATATGATATGTTTTTGATAAAATATGTTGTTGCATTGAATGATGTGTTTCCAATGATGTTTTCAATGGAAGATAACTCAATATTATTTCTTTTTAGATATAAAAGAGTTATGGATATTGCTAGATACTGATTTGGGAAGACGGGATACTGCATTGGTTCACTTTCCAATGAATTATTGTAGTTTTAATCAGCATGCCTCTTCACTTTCCAGGAAAAGGGTGGAAAAAACGATTTCTTATTTGTAGGTTGGGGGAGGCAGGGGGGGGAAGGGGGGGGGGGGGGGGGGGGGTTGTCTGTATCTTATACTCTCATGTACTTAGAAGCTATAAAAAGCAAATGCAGTCTATCAAAGACAAAGACTTCATATCCATTTTGGTTACTCTATTCACCATTAAACTTGGTTTCTTCAGGTTAAGTCCCCTGGTCGTACTTCAGATGCAATTTGATGTTACTTTCCTTTTTCCACTGATAATTGCAACAAAAAAGTAAAGAAAAGACGCTTATTGTTTTCTCCATTTATATTAAGGGGTGTGGTTGGCATAAGGTTTCATCCTTAAACAATCAGATTAAGGTGCACCTCTCATGAGATGCAATTTTGGTGCCAAAAATTCTTAGGGTGGTGTGACTATCTATTTTTATTTCTAATTATAAAATTTAAAATTCCAAAAATGGTTCAAATCAAGCAGACATATAAACACATGAAAGCAGATATATAAACACATGAAAATTTTAAACGGTCCAAATAATATGTTGCAAGATGCACTATTTTTAGGGAGTGAAATATCATTTTTTCTCCATATCTATACATTTCGACATTGAGATGATCAGTTATATGTTTTTCTAACATCAAAACAACCTTTTCGAAGGATTTTAGTGGTGCACCTTAACTCTACATTTTAAGGAGTCAACCTTATATAAACTCTTTCCTCATATTAATGTTCACATTTCATTCAATGTTGAATGAGAACAGTATGCACTATGCTTCCTCAGGTGCAGAAGAAAGAAAAAGAAAGAAAAACGAAAACTTCAGAATAGATGACTTCAAATAATGGAACACTGAAACAGTGGGAGATAGGGCCAATATCTATATTCTCTTCAAATAAAATGTGACCCATGGACATACTGATGTCGATAAGAGAGTCATCCTCCACCATGAGTGTTGTGTTAATACTCTATGGAGTAGCAGTAGTTTTTGTGGTTTTACTATGTTGGGGGCTTTAACTCGAGTATCTCTTAGTTTTTGCTTAGTTATTGGAGCCATAGTATCTTTCCAGTTTTAATTGGCTGTATTTCTTAACATTCTCTCCTTTCGGAAAAGGGTGATTAGACTTCCTTGCGTATTTATTTCTCTGCCATTTTCACACCCTTCGCTATGGGGAGATGCAACTTTTAATTGACTTGTTCATATGAGACTTAAATTTTTTTTTTTCCCCCCCTCTTTCTGGCTGCACTCAGATCCATCTCTCTTTTGGTGAAGTTGCAGGACAACATACCTTGAATTGAATCTAGCCTGCTTTGTCAAGTACATGCAAGCTCCTCCTTTTATTTGTTATCTCCACATGACCAGGAAGATTGTTTGGTCTTTTCTCTTTATCCCTACAGATATTCAAATGGAAATTAAGAGGACACTTGATTCGGTGAAGTGCGTGCACCAGAAACCAAGTTTTATAATTAAACTGGCCAAATTCTCCTACTCATATTTGTTTACTTTTGCCTGCATATAGAAATGAATAATTTGATATAGTGTTTTAAAATGCAGGATGCGGCTCGATGCGTTGGGAGGGCCGATGTGGCGATTCAACTCGATGCGGTCCGGATGCTGGTGCATCACTGCGATGCTAATCATAGAAGTTATCTTGAGAGTCTCCAAGTCCATCATCATCACTATCAGCCTCAGCAGCCTCCACGTATTCATTAAATTTTGTTTACTTTTGCCTATAAGGAGTTTTATACAGGGTCTCAAATCTTGGAAACTTAGGTTGGTCATGAGAAAATAAATCTTTCATTAATAATCATTTCCATTAATCCAAGGTGGCAACCAGTGTTCTCAAAATCGAATCGGAATGGTTAATGGGCCCGGAAGTAGTTTAACTGACTTAACCGGTAAACCGGCCAATTCAACCATTCTAACCGGCCAAGTCCCAGGCGGTCAAAAAAGTGTTGAAAAAATAAAAAAGATTCAAAAAAAAAAAAATCTACTAAAAGATGAAAAATATATAAAGAATGATTAAAACCAAACACATTCAAATGAAATTGAAAATTAATGAAAAAAATAGTTTTTAACAAATCGATTTTTGAATTAAAGTGAATATTGATGACAAAAACAATTTTTAAACTTTACCATATTGTAAAGAATATTAAAAAATGCATTACAAACCAAATTCTTTATTTTTGAGAATTTATATACTTTTTTTTTTTTAAATACCGGTCGATCACCAAAACCGCCCAAAACTTGGCCGGTTCCAATCTAACCGGGTGGTTAGTAGTTAGATCGCCCGATTTTTCTAACAATGATGGTAACTGTAACTCTTGATCATTTTCTGTGTGACTTTATCAATGAGAATGAATTTCGAGGATATGCAGGTTTGAAAATTGTGTTCCAATTGTTCGTCTTAATGCTTGTTGTCATGAGCATTGAGTGTTAGCAAAATACTTTGTGATTCCTTTTGTACTAGAACAGTTTATGACTTCTCCTTTTTTTTAATATGTTCACGTAACAGTGTATGACTTTTTCGGAATTCTGATGTTGAGTGGCAGAGTGCAACAATTGTTCTTTTCATATTTTATTATGTGACCATTGTTACTTATGCCTTTAAATACATGGATATTTTTGTGCGAACTGAAATTCTTTACTCCAATTGGGGAGGAGAATATGTCTAATGAAACAGCTTCATGGAAAAAGAAATATTCATGGGAGTACTTGTCCTTAATTACCAGCTTATGGTCTTGGTAAAAGCAACATACACGTTTCAGAAACATCGCTTAGTTATTAATTACCGTGTTCCACAGAAGCAAGACAAGAAGGGATGGAATTTAAAATGAATACATTGTGTGGCTCCAATAAGCCATATGATAAGAGAAAGTAGACTTAGGTGGGCTGGTCATGTACAATGCAGACCTAGTACAACACTTGTTAGGACGTGCAAGTTGGTTCAAGTGAAAGGCTTGAAAGTAGTGAAAAAAAGATATGGGAACTTATGGCCTCACTGAGGATATAATCTTTGATAAAGTAGAATGACAGACCAGGATTTGTATAGCCGATCCCAAATAGTTGGGAGAAAGCTCTTGTGATGATAATGATGATTGTGTTCTACAGGACTTTGGGCTGAAGCACCGCTATTAATTTTTAACCTGATTAAGTACTTATTTATTTCAGTTAACGTTATTGGTTCACCTGTCTAGATTCTGTCGTTGATGTTCCAACAGTCTGTTTGGCTTCAGTGACTTTGCTGTATTACGTTCTTTCTTGCATGAGGAGCTCACATCAATTTTGCTAGCAACAAATTAGTTGACCATGTTATAGGGCATGTTATAAAAGATCTTGTTTGGAATGCTATTGCATGTTCACTGAGATGGTGTTTTTGGGAAATGTTTTTCTGAAGACCCTCTTCCGTCTCAGATTCAGATCAGCCAAATAATCATGTATGCTGCTGCTATCTGTTTCTTCTTTGCCTGGTCGCAATCTAATAATCCTGGCCTCTCGGTAACGCTCGTGCTTCCCCATGTTGTGTGGATACTGTCCTTGGTTTTTGGCATAGTGGTTGACATTCCCATTTGGGTGAGGAAGGTTGAGGTTCAAACCCGACTGTTTGTACTAGAAAACCAAACTGACTGACCTACTGTTCTTTTGTGTAGCATGGATACTGGTACCAGTGTGCAAGTTAGACAATGTACAAGTTGTCAGACTCTCTAAGACTTAAAAACAGGGTTCCTCCATGTAACAAAATGTGTGTGCATGTGCGAAATGTATATGTTGGTGGTCCCAGAGGCAGTCCATCCACCAGCTATTCAGAAAATGGGTAGTGAAGATTAATCTCTTTGCATGGGAGCGGCCTCACACCAATGGTTGACATGTCCATAAGGCAGTTCATCTCCACGTTCTGAACAGTTGATCCATAATCCATTGCCTGTGTACTTTCCAATATACACATTGAGTCTATGCAAATACGGTCCTCCCCACACATACACACATTTTAGGGGTATCTCTAAAAGTATTCTCAAGATTTTGGACCTAATATAGATCCCATGATTTTTCACTAGTGTTGCACTTTTATTTGACTAATTATATTTGTTTAAAGTTTGTACAATAAGTTAAGAATATTCTTAGAGATATGTTGAATATTAAATAAACCTTTTCCATTCACCTTCAGGCTTCATCCAATGTAGTAGAAGTTTTAAAATTTCAATCTGATTTGCTCAAGACCTAGTCAACTAGCTCAACAGTGCACTGGGTTTTTGTTAGCATACCTATAGACTTTCAAAATGAATATGCGAGCATCTTATCTGAGATCACTAGTCGCAGAATGAGCTTGTTCTTTTGACCTTCTGCCCAGCTGTTAGCCAAGTAACATTACAAAACATTATAAAAGAAGCTGCTGGATATATGTATTTATTGTCTCTAGAGAGAGAGAGAGAGAGAGAGGAGGTAG